GTGCTCATAGTCCAATCCCCTTGTTGTGTTTGCCCTTGATCTAATGTCCACATATGAGGGAGAACATACGATTTTTGGTCTTTTGACTGCCCAACATCTTTACTCCACCTACCTTGTATGGCCTGTGTCCTCTTCTCACCCTCATACCTGTTTTTCTAGTATTATTGCAAAAGACATAGAGGAAAAGAAAGAAAAGATACATGAAAAATGCATAAAATATGGAAAGACATAAATGTGTCAGTCATTTGTAGCATTTTACACAAAAATAAAATTGTAAGATCTTACAAAGTGGGTGCTTTTAAAAGAATAACACTTCCTTTCTTTCTAAAGTTCTATCACAATAGCCTCCTCTAAAACAAAGTATGCAACCTGCATGGTCCCACCAGCTGCTCAAGAGTCTGAGGTTGGAGAGTCACTTGAGCTCAGAAGTTTGAGCGTTGCCCAGAATATTTAGCTAGACCTCATGAAAAAATATAAATACTACATATGCTTATAATATGCCTCCTAACTTAATATTGCATAGACAATATATTACCTAAGTGAACTCAAAAAGTTAAGAAGATCTGTGTTTTGATTCTATCTACTTTGCCTCCTCTGGTCAAGTCATAGTTTGCCTTGTCTTCATCTTATCATATATAAAACAGAAGAAGCTCTCAAGCATAGAGGCAGACATGTGGCACAACTTCACACACAACTGTCTTATTTGTTTTAGAATTTTAATGAAACTCACTACAACTGCGACAAATCTGAATATTGTTTTTTCTCCTCATTGGTCACCAAATGTGCTCAGAGAATTGGTCGCAGGTTTAGGTGGTCCTATGCTATGCCCAATAATTCATCCCCAGCTGAGTTTCTGAACCAGATATTAGAAAGAGCAGTTTAGGAACAAAGGTTATGCCCTTGACCTAGAATTTTAGCTCTACCTGTTGAACACTGATACATGGCTGTCCCTGACTGCCCAGTGAAGTGTGCATCAAACAAGTCCTGAATCTGTTTCTTAGAGTTAAAAAAAAAGGTAGTCAAGTGTTTCCAAGATAGCTGACTATAGACAGGCATCTCATGCCTGTGTCTCTACAAATGTGAAATAAATTCTCAGTTACGTGGCCCCAGCAGAGATAGGGAAGTTAGTGAGCTAACAAAGAGTGTGTGAATAAAAGGACAGATAGTAGCTAGAAATGCTAATCTCTTATCTATACCTCTAAATTCAGAAATCAGGTGCAGGTGCATGGTTAAGGACCTGTACACATTCCATCTAACGCCCCTTGTGTGTGTGTGTGTTTTATTTTAATCTCTTGCATTGATTCCTACAAGAGTGAATGGCAAAGGCAACACCGTGAATAAAATAACTGTACCGAGGTTTAATATCAAGTAGGCAAACATTACCTGCTGTTCTGAATAGAAGCTGATTGGCATCTGTGACCCATTGTCTGAGTAGGAAGGTCTGTGCTGAAACCAGCCACTGGGACAAACAGGTTTCTGTCCTGATGGCTGCCCTAGAGGCCAACAAAGTATGTTTCTGGTATTACATCTGACTTCTGAGAAAAATTTTGACTAAGCAGAATGATTAAAGGTTCCCACATGTGGCCCCTGACTGTGTTTGAGGGGGTGGAATTGCATGAACATTTCTATAAACACTACTACCCTCGGGAGATGCTGCCCTGCCAAACCCACGATGCACTCTACTACATTTGACCCCGGTGAAAACTTTGGATAAGCCTGCGGATTCTGAAATACTCATATCCCATCCAACCCGGTAGTTTGCACATATACCAAAGTGGCAGGATCTATTCACCTGTTACTTTCCAACCAAAATATTAATGTCAAGGTCTAGGTGGAAAGAGGAAAAATTTGTAATGGATGAGCCAGAGCACCCATGGGAATCCCTGAACAGGCAAAGGTGTGTGCTTCAATAGTGGCAGAGTGTTTTCAGACTCAGTAGTAGGCACTTGGGGATCCCAAAATATACCATAACTACTACCTCTCACACCTATAACTGCCCCCACTTCACCATAGATGAGGCTGTGCCTCAGATTACAACTTGTCAGGCAGTGGCCCTGCTGAGGACATTTGATTAAACAGAACACAACTGCAAACTAAAGCATGAAGACCAGAGATTAGAGTACAGGACCTAATGTACAGAGAGAGGGCAGCAGATATTGACCCTTCTCCTGAACAACAAAGCAACAGACTCTTAAAAATACAATTGAGAATTTATTTTATCTCATTTATATTATCTTTTTTCTCCTTTTTCATTTTTTCTCGTTCATTATTTCTTATTTACAAACTATTCTGCTAGTGGTTTTCTTCTCTCTCTTATTATTAAGTTTTTGTCCTTTTGCAGTCCTTTACATTAGCAGCTTTGCCCACAATAACTGAACTATATCCATTTGCACTAGTGTTTTATATGCCTTTAATGCTCACTCATCCATTCCCTTGTCCCTATCTTCATTTTCGTTATTTTCTCCCTCACCCCCTTGGTTTTACAACATAAGTTTTACCTCCTAAGTAATCAAGGATTATTTTTATAATTTATATTATAAAAATGTAAATTTTTTATATTTATAATACAATTTTTATTATAATTTTTTATTATTTTATTAGAAAAATAATACTCTATGCTAATATTAAAGGACACCAGTCTCATTGATATCAAAGAGGATCAGTTGTACAAAAAATGCTGCCAATATTATCTTACGATAATTTAAATTAAAATTATAAAAAACAAGGAAAGAATATTGAAAGCTGCAAGGAAACAATGTTCAAGTCACATATAAAAGGCAAATGCATCAGAATATTGGCAGATTTCTCTACAGTAACCTTGTAAGGAAAGAGAGAATGGAAAGAAGTAATTCAAGTGCTGAGATAGTAAGTGCAACACCACTCATGTATGGGTGAGGGAAATGTGGTATATATGTATGTATATATATGAATATATATACACACAGTGTTACTCAGTCATTAAGAAAAATGAAACATGTCATTTGTTTTTAAATGGATGGAACTGGACATCAAGTTGCTAAGTGAGATAAGCCAAGTTCAAAAAGCCCAATTTTGCATGTTCTCACTAATTTGTGAACCTACACTTATATGGAAGATGGTGGTGATTATGATAATCATGGGATATGAATGTGACAGGGGGGTGGTCTTAGGTTCGATCAACATGAGGGGGATGGTGAAAAGGAAAACTACTGAGATGGAGGAGGATCAAAATACACTACATGTGTGTGGTTGAAGATAGTATAATGAACCTCACCAAGCACTTTATAAACAAGGATTAGAAGGGAGTGGGAAAATGGAATATAAAAAAGAATGGTCTCCACTGAATCACACTGTATAACCGACATGGACCCAACATTATCTCAAGTGGCTGAGGCAGAAGAATCACTCTAGAGCCCAGGAATTCCAGGACAGCCAAGAAAGTGTTTCTACAACACCTTTCAAAAATAAAAAGCCCCACCCTATGCTTATTTTATGCATCCCAGCTTATTATTCACAGACCACACTTTGGAATATCTGTTCAAATCATTTTTGCCTTTTTTGTCATCTTATCATCCATAAGTTAAAAGAAGCTCTACAACATTGATGTAGACATCATGAGGAGCACACAGACTCCATTCAACAAAGACCCTAGAGACACATTGACATAAGGACAGAAGAAAGTGCTAACTTGACTGTTAGTGTGTTCAATTGAGATAAAATGATGCGTAGAGGACAAGGGAGACCATGCAGGGCTGGACAGGTGGTGACTGCCTCATATTCCATTAGGTTCCACCTCTATTTAGGGTGTTTTCCTTTGAAGAGTTTCATTTCATAGAAAAAAAATTGAAGAAAGTGGCAGAAACTAACAATTATTTAGATCAATAATATCAAACATAAAATATAGAACTTATTTGACTAAACTAATATCTGTCTTATATAAAATCATCATCAAATTAACATTATAGGACATAAATGGCTATTATTTTATACAGCCAGCTTCAGCACAACATATACAACTTATCTTTATTCTTTGCAATTAAATTAATACTTAATACATACAATTCAAAATAAAATATCATTATGGTTTTCTGTCTATCCAAGACACATCCTGACTGAGTTTCCCATTATTCAGGAATATTCCGTTTTTCTAAGCCCCAAGAGTCCAGGTCTCTATTCCCACTTATGTCAGTATAGGACTCTGCAACACAAACAAAATTTGAGTAAGTTAAAGTGAACAAAGTACACATGTGAAGGCAATCAATGCTCATGGAGATGGGTTAAGGGAACCACAGCTACAAGTTTCTTACATTCCTTTTACTCATCATCTGATGTTGTACTTTCATGATAAAAATGTGCCTGGTGTTCTTACAGTTTGAGAAACACTGGTCTCTAATTCTTTCCATACTGGATAATTGTAAAGTGATAAAATACATGTTAAAACAGACTGAATGATTACTTAAATTGAAGAGCACATAGACAGTTTAAAGTGAGTGTGCGAAACAAATAGTTCTACAGCATGAGTCAAAACAGTGATAAGCTCCAGGAAACTGTGTGTATCTAACAGCAGGTCCCCTGGTGTGTTTCTAAAGAGGAAGAGGTGGAGGCCAGGTCACAGCTCCTGCCTCCTCATCACATGTCCTGCTTCTCAGTGTGCCCAGGCGTGTAGGATAGACACAGTGGTAGCTATGCACAGGCCTTACAAAAGGAAATTAAAGGCTTCTGCTTTTGGTGAGTTGTGGAGGTGGACATGGACCCAGGTTGTTCTCCTTGCTCATTTCTCTATGTTGCTGGACATACACAGAAATTCCATAGGAATTATTCTTGAATTCAGCAGCCTTAGCAGTGCCTTGTGATTCAGGAGTGGCTGAGATGACAGAAAAGAAGGTGGTGCTGGATTGCTGATAGTGCAGAGGAAGAAGCCACACTTCTTATCACTTACTGCCACAAGCTGGAGAAGCTTTATCTCCACTGACAAGACTGTAAGTGAGCAAATATTGTCCTAGCAGAAGTCCTCTCCTACAGCCTGCTGAAATATGAAGACCCAGCATGAAAGCCTGCAGCTAACTTAAGGTTGGCATTTCGAATAGGACTACCTACTCTCCATAGAGGTGAGAAATACATTTCTTTTCTTTATACTTTGACCAACTGACATATTTCATGACAACAAAAAAAATTCTAAGTATGTATTGCCATACCCAGAGAATCACTATTTTGGCTTATTTCGCAAAGTGGTGATCAATCAAAACCCAGGATGTTGATGTTTGCTGTGAAAAAGCAGTGAAAAGAGCTCATCTTTTGGAAAAAGTTTCTTGAATACATAAATATCCAATATTTTAAATACTCAAGAAAGCATACTTGTACCAACAGCACACTGAACATAAAACTTCCAACTATTATCATTAATATGGGAGAATAAACCAGGCATAATTCTCTTTTCTTTGCTTTCTTTTGCATTCCTTTCCTTTTCTAGTCTCTGCTACTATGCCCTTTCATCTTAGGTCCTTTCCTTTCTCTTTTCTTTTCTTTCCTTGTCCTCCAAATATTTCCCAAAACTGGATCCCATTGGGTAAAACTTGTCATATTGTTGCCCTCCTAGAGGTCTTTCTCCTCATTTGTAGACTCTCGTATAGTCTGCATGACACAATATTTAGAAACACAAGAACAACCAATCAGTTGTTAAAAAGTATAGCTTCCTTCCTCCATATGCCAGTTGTGGCTGCTCTGGCTCATACCGTATGTCCCTGATTTTTTCTGTGCATTCTCAGACACCTGAAATCCATATGGGATTGAAGGCTGCAGGAAGAAATTGCAATCACTTCAATTACTTTAAACCTATACATGAGGAATTATTACTTCCCGTGGTCTGCCATCCCTCTCACCTCCAACTGGGTCAATCAGTAACTCTAACTTAGATGCATACACATAGAGATATCAGATATCTATGACAGACCCCAGGGCAGGCTTGGAGAAGCTGCCTACAAAAGGATGGAATGTTCTTTCCACATTATAAACACAGGTATACTGGCAATGTGAAATATGGCTAGTGAGACAAGGTTCTGAATGTTAATTTCACTTATTAAACTGATTTAAATATAAACTCATATTCTTGCAGTGACTTGTACACTGGATGACAGAGAACTACACTGTGCTTTTGCCAGCCATGACAGCCACATCCCACTTAGTTCCACAAAGAGAATGCCTACATGTCTTTGGTGAGCTCACTCAGGTGAGTTTGGTGATCTGATTGTTAACAACCTTATTCGACATCCCAAACTATTGCATGGATGCCCTCATTTCTTCCACCTCCCCCTGGAAATATTTTCCCTCTAGGTGAACCCAACATTTAGTCTAATTCTCCATCACAGAGCCCACTGTGAACATGATCATGAATTAATTGACACCTCCATTTTGGTAGAACTGAGCTTTCACTGTAGTCACACACACTAGGGTCTCCTTCAGAACCATGAGATACTATGATCTAGAGATGCAAGATTGTCTATGACAGTCATTACTCAAGCACAGACTGTCTGAGTTCTTTTCTTTTACTAAGGTAAACTATATCACCACAAAACCCTTTTGAAAAAGAACTTATTCCATATTCAAGATGTTATATATTTATTATAGTTTTACAGAGCTACCATGACTTATTTCCTTACAAACATCTGCAGAAACATTTTGAAACTACTGGAACTGAGAGAGTCAACAGGGAACTTGTGGAGATTCTCCTGTCCTGTGTCTGCATTTCTCACTCTCCAATTTGCTATGCACAGTCAAAGACACCAGGGCAGGCTCAGTGTTGGGAGAGAGAATTTCCATTTGAGTATGGCATTTCTACTACTTAGTCACATTATCTGAAGGTCCATATTGGAACTTCATGGAGAGAATTGGAGAAAATTCCTCCAAATTTTCCAACAGAACCTCTTGTCTCACTTGCAATTTGATTAGTTTACATATGAATATATATAATCACACTGCAATAAAGACAGCACTTTTATTAAAAAATTGGCAGTGGAAAATAGGAACACACACATTGAGAGCAATTCAATAAATTAATAGGAAATTGCAAATAAGAGAGCTGCAAGACACGTACTCTTTTTAGAAAGAATAGCAAGAAACCCCCAAAGACATAGGGAAAGGAATAAAAAAGGAATGTAGAGACAGTCAATCCATCTTGAACACCCAGGTATAGAAAAATAAAACTCATCCCAGTTCCTATCCTGATTTACATAGTTTCTCACACCAAAATCCCAGTTACCTTAGTTCTTGTACACTGACTCATTATGCTTGAATTTCAACAAAGATTTATTTGGTCACTTAACAGGGAGAAAACCTCAGGGTGAAGATGGTAAGCATTTCACAGAGGAGAGTAGCATATGGTACATTTTTGGGAATTGAATAGAATGATGATTATGGTGTTAAAGCACAAAAGTAATCATAGACAAAATGCAAGCCACGATTGGGAGTGAAAGTTCAGAGACAGACTCTCTAAAAATGAGATACTAAAAGATGGTTGAATCAAACACACCACAACATATATGAGGAATGCCTCAAAGGGACTCATCAATCGGGTACACATCCAGACGAGTAAAGAATGAGTGAGTTTCAATATGTATGAAAGGAATTATCAAATCACAATGAAAATAAATAGAAATTTAGGGAAAAATTGAATATACAAGCCTTGCTGAGGAAACAACAATGATATTGTTACAAAATGTAAGTATAGTTGTGTATTTACAAAAAGAACATGATGGGAATAGATCAGTAGGAGGAAGAGCACAAGTAGGAGGACAATGAGGAAGAAAGAGATAGAAAAACACAAAAGAAATATTTTCATTTAATCACACCAAGAAGTTAACAAATTCTTTGACAGAAAATAATGACAAATGTAGGAAGTTCAGAGAACATCAAGTAAGTTTAATGCTAAAATCAAACTAACAAACTTGAATATTGGTGTATCATACTCAAACTGCATTAAACTGGTGAATCAAGCATGTTTGGACAGCAATTATAGAAAAGCATTCCGAACTACGTGGGTGAAAGTATAGAATAGCATCAGCCTTGTCATCAGAAATGATGCAATCAAAGAGAGTGAAGTAAAAATATTGTAGTATTGATTTAAAAAAAACCACAAACATAGAATTCTACATCTAGTGAAGTTTGTTTTATTTGGATAGAAAAACAAAGACTTTCTCTGAGAGAAACTAAATCAATATGTCACAATTAGACCCACCTTATAAGAAATGTTGAAAGACATTCTTCAGGGAGAAGAAAGATGGCACAGATTCAATTGAGACCAGCAAATAAAAAATGGGAAGAAAGAATAATGTCAGTGAAGGAGTCAACAATGAAGAAACAAATATTCTGTTTTCTCACATTTTTTGTGAGTATTGTGGAATGAGCTCAGGGTCTTAGCTTGCTAAGCAAGCATTCTACTACCTGGCCCATATATCCAGGTCTTATTTTCTTATTCTTAATTGTTCTAGTAACAGCAGTGCATTCAATGTAATAATGACAATGATTTGGACAATTATAGAAAATGAAAAGCTGATGTGAACAATAGCAATGATGAAGGGGTGGGAAGGAGGAAATTTGTACTACCTAGGTAGGTATAAATGAAAGACTCAAAGTCAATCATTTAAAACAATGTAAAAGAAGAGGGTCATATGGACCAGTCTGGCTGGGCCAAAACAAGAAAGAGTCCAGATGAAAAATCAGTGAAGGCAAAAAGAAAACATTGGGTGGTACATTACATGCCAAGCAATGTAGTAGTCCTGTATTCAAAGCCTAGTACCACAAATAAACAAATAATAAAATTAAGGAAGTCTGTCATCTAAAATCAATACACAAAAGAAATCCCATCACATGTGCTATCAAAACTAGAGAAAGGCAGCAAAAGAGGTAGTGGGTTAAAAAATAGAACAAAATGATAAATTTCACTAAATAGAAAACAAATGTGAATAACCAAATATAAATTCAAATACATTGGTAATCAATTTAAATGTGAACTATCTAGATACACTGATTATAATACAGAGACTGGAAAGAATGGTTTAAATACCAGATGTGACAAAAGCTGGATTTGGTGGTTCATGCCTGTGATCCTACCTTAAGTGGTAGGGCACCTGTTTGCAAGAATAAGGCACTGAGTTCAAAATCTGAGCACTCTTCCTGTCTCCCTAGAAAAAAAAGAAGATGTGTTGTGTGTGAAATCACTTTAAATATAAAGACACCGGATGGTTAAAAATAAAGACTCAGTGCAACATGCTGACACAATTGAAAAACTAAAAGCAAAAGTACAGTCAATGAACAGATTGAGAAAGAATATAGGAAAGCAATCCATTTAAAACAGCCTCAAAATATCAAATACCTAAGAATAAGATTCACACAGGATGTGAATGACATCTACAAAGACAACTACAAATCATTGAAGAAAGAAATTGAAGAAGAATACAGACGATGGAAAGATCCCCCAATGCTCATGGATTGGCAGAATCAACATAGTAAAAATGGCTATACTATCAAAAGTAACCTACATGTTTAATGCAGTTCTCATCAAAATCCCAATGACATTCATCACATAGATTGAAAAATCTACCCGAAAGTACATTTGGAAACACAAGAGACCACAAATAGCCAAGGCAATACTCAGCAAAAAAGCAATGCTGGAGGTATCACAATACCTGACTTCCAACTACACTACAGAACAATAGCAGTAAAATCATCATGGTACTGGATCAAAAACAAATATGAAAACCAGTGGAACAGAATAGAGGACCTGAAAAGGAACCCAAGCAGCTACACCCACCTAATGTTTCACAAAGAAGCCAAAAACATACAACAGAGGAAAGACAGCCACTTCAACAAATATTGTTGAGAAAATTGGACATCTGCCTGCAGAAAACTGAAACTCGATCCATGCTTGTCATCCTGTACCAGTAGCAACTAAAAGTGCATAAAGGACCTTAATATCAGACCTGAAACCTTGAAGCTAGTACATGAAATATACCGGAAACAATAGGCATAGGTAGAGAATTCCCAGTAGAACACAAGCAGCTCAGCAACAAAGAGGAAAGATGGACAAATGGGACTACATTAAATTAAATAGCTTCTGCACAACAAAAGATATGGTCTCTAAATTGAAGAGGCCACACACAGAATGGGAGAGAATCTTTGCCAGCTATACATGAGACAGGGACTGATAACCAGAATATACAGGGAGCTCAAAAAACTAAACTCCCAGAAAATCAATGACTCAATAAAGAAATGGGCAAATGAACTGACAGAACTTTTTCAAAGGAAGAAGTCCAAATGGCTAAATAGCATATGAAAAAATACTCACTATCCCTGTCATAAAGGAAATGCAAATAAAAACCACAAAAATTCCACCTCACTCCTGTTAGAGTAGCTACCACAAACAATAACAAATGTTACCAAGGATGCAGGGAAAAAGGAACCCTCATAGATTGCTGGTGGGAATGTAAGCTAGTACAACCACAATGGAAAACAATAAGGAGGCTCCTTAAAAACTAATAATTGATCTGCCATATGGTCCAGCAATACCACTCCTAGGGATATGCCCGAAGGAATGTGAGTCAGGTTACAACAAAGGAACCTGCAAACCCATGTTTATTTCAGGGCTATTCACCATAGCTAAGCTATGGAAACAGCCAAGATGCTCCACTATTGATGAATGAATTTTTTAAATGTGGGGTTTATACAAATGGAATTTTACTCAGCCACAAGAAGAATAAAATTTTTTCTTTTGCAGGTAAATGGATGGAACTGGAGAACATCTTCTTAAGTGAAGTTAGCCAGGCTCAGAAGGCCAAAAGCTGCATGTTCTCCCTCATATGCAGATTATAGACCTGAAATAAATGCAGCAATATTATAGGACATGTGTCACAAAGGGGAGGCTGTGCATGGGAGGATAGGGCAAGGGAAGGAAACTAAAAACTTGAATTTGGTTGATGTGCTCACTATACACATCAGGAATGAATATAGAAATCTTAAAAGAGCTGGGGCCACCATGGGAAGAGGACTAGGGAGGAGTGAAGAGGATTGGTAGAGATGGACCAATTGGGGTTATAAGACACATCTGTATCGAAACAACACAAGGAAACTCCCTGTGTAGCAATCTTTAACTCAAACTAGCAAAAACATCATTTATGTTTTTTCTTGTAGGAATTTGGAGAACAGGACTATGGAACAGATTCTGTGTGAGAGGGGACAGGAGGGTGTTGGCACCAGTGAGAGGGTGCAGGAGATGGAGAGAGGGATAGGAAAGTGAATACGGGGCAAATAATATATACACATGTATGTAAATGCAAAAAATGATACATATTGAGAATGTTCCAGGAATTAGGGGAAGGGAGATCAAGGAGACCAGTGGAAGGGGTGAATTCAAGTATGGTATATTTGATACATTGTAAGAACCTTTGTAAATGCTACAAGGTATCTCTACCCAGCATAACAAGAAGAAAAAAAGGTATGGTCAATTAATCTTAGACTAAGCAGATCTCAGGATGAAGAGATTATGGAGAAAAAAGAGAGGAATATATCATGACCCTGGGATCAATTCTCCATGCAGTATAATTATCCTTGATGCGTGGGCACAACTTAGCACCCAACTCCTTGATACATCAGTAAAGTGAAATAATAATGGAGTATAATAGGCCTGTCCGCTGATATGACTGGTGTTCTGATAAGCAGAGGGGACAGATGCAGGAGGGAAGAAGGCCATGTGATGACCTAGGCCATGTGATGATGGAAGCATAAAGGGAAGTGCTGCACTTGCTGGCCAGGAAAACCAAGGACTGCCAGCAAAACTGCAGAATCCAGGAGGAGGCATGAAAAGATTCTTTCCTGCAAATTTCAGAGGGACGATGGTCCTGCCTACACCTTGACTCAGGACTTGCAGTTTGCCAAAATTTGAAGCCACAAACATCTATTATTTTAAGCTAATCAATCTGGTCCTTGGTCACAGCTGCCCTGGAAATCTAATTAGAACATCATCAATCAATAAGATATAAGTGGCAATTGTGCAATTCTGCATTCAACAATGAAACAGTACAGTTTCTTTTCAAGGTCACACGAAACAAACCACAGGCAGAACTCAACTTATTCAAACTTATTGAAACAATAAGAATACAAAATATGCTTCCAGACCACTAGTAGATTAAGTTAGAATTCCTTAAAGAAATAAAATTGGAAATGCCACCAAATATTTGAGATTAAACAACAAATTCTACAAAACACTTAGGTCAAAGAAGAAGCTTCCATGTATTATTTTAATATTCTGAACAAAATCAAAGGAAAATAAGCTTTTTAAAATTTGCAGGGTGCAGTGACAGGAAGGCTCAGAGGAAAATTCAGAGCACTGCATGCCATATTAGAGAGAATGGAAATACCTCAAATCAGTGATCTAAGTTTCCTCCTTAGAATTTAGAAAAAAGAGCATTGTGTGCAACAGAGAGCAGAAAAAAATTATTGCAGAAATCAGTGCAATGAATAATTGGAAACTAACAGAGAAAATCAGCAAATTGAACATCAAGTTCTATGAAATGATCAACAAAATTAATAAATCTCTAGCCAGATTAATCTCAAAGAAAAGACAGAAGACACATGGACCAATGCTATAAATCAAAGAGCAGTTAGCACTACTGATTTCTTGTTCCTTAAAATGATAACTAAGAAACTCTTTGAACAACTTTCTGCCTCTTCAACCCCATAGACATTGCACGCTTGAAAACCCATGATTTTTCCAGTCTAAAATTTCTATATCTATGGCTTTAACATTTGTTATTGGAAGCAGACACATACATGCATGAGACTGTGACATATAATTCCTTTTTCATCAATGCTTATTGTCATATTTAGTATCATGACTCTCTTGATTTGACAAAAGGAGTATGAGTGTGCTCCCCTGTATCTATTTTCATGAAGGATTTTTCCTAAATTGGTATCAGGAAATGTACAATTTTTTCTTTTTAAAAATTTTAGTTGTGCTGGGAAGGAGAACATTGTGGCATTCACAAATGTTCTTACAATATATCAAATGGATCATACCTGAATTCACCCCCTCATTTTTTCTAAATTTAGGAAAATATATAGGGCAAAAATTTGATACAATAATCAAAAGCACAAATGGAGTAATATGACAAAATTAGAATATGCAAAATCAGGAGATAAAGGAGGCATTAAAAAAAGTGAGGAAAAGAGGTTGTATGAAATGGCACATGTTCATGTAAAGATACAATATTCAGAAGCTCAAGGTGAATTCACCTCTGCCACAACATTTCAGGTTTCCCATCTTGCAGGATTGTATGGATCAACCTGAGAATTTCCCAACTGCTGGCAAATGTGACTGTCCATCTCACAGAGTGACCACTGGGACACCAGGCAGGATGTGCATCACCATATCCTAGTGATCACAAGACATCACAGAATGTTTGGAAAGCACACCTGCCCCAGTACATGATGCTATAGTCCTGTTCTCTAACCAAAGATATTTCACATGTCCCCAAATCTTGGAAATTTCAGTGTCATTCCAGAGGAAAACAACTATGTTAAGAATAAAAAGAGGCTGCATTCCTGATTTGAAATGTGAACAATACCTACATCCATGTTCATAATTCTGGAAGATTCTAGATAGATTATTAAAAATTTCAAATGAAGTTAAAATATGTGTCCAAAATAGATCATGCAATATATTTCATATTCAGGTCATGGAAAGAGTAATATTACTTTGTACTTATTGGAGATTTAAAATCAAGTTGCCTTACAAATTCATTACAAGATAACCACCAGTCATGTGAATTCACCAAGCATCTCATTCCATGAGTGACCTAGGAGGAATGAGGACCCAAACTAAGCTTTCAAAACATGTATGCAAAATAGGAAACTCATTTAACAAATGGTCAACTGTGAGGAAAGGAAAATATCAAAATTATATTTAAATTACTTGAATTTTGAAAACAAAGCTGTGAAGGTTTCTACCCAGAGAAGCTAAAAGGAAATGGCCTGGACTGCTTCAACTTATCAGGTGCCATTCCCCTCTCTGTGACAGTTTGTCTCAGCACATGAGCACCTGGAGAAAATGCTCCCTATTTTCCAAATCAGCTTTTTCCTCACTCTGCAAAGTGCCTAAACCCAAATGGAGGCTGTTTGACATTTTTCACTATTTAAGTTGTTCCTATGAGTTCTCAAAATTTTAAGCCCCAAAGGTTTCCAGGTGGAAATAAATTTAAGAAATCTAAAATTTCCTCTTGTGATCTGTTTTCTTTTGGTTCTGATGTATGGGTATTTATACCATTTTATAAAATGTGAAACACAAGACTGGTGCTGGTGGCTCACATTTGTAGTCCTAGCTACTTGGGAGACTGAGATTAGGAGGATCATGTTTCAGGCCAACCAGGCAGAAAAGTTGCATGGCCTGGAGACCATATCGCCAAAATAACCTGACCAAAATGGGCTAAAGTGGTAGAGCCCTTGCCAAGCAAGGATGAGGTCCTGACTTCAATACCTAGTACTAGCAACAAAGTTCAAATACAATCGTCCTTAAATATCATTAGGACTTCACATTTGCTAAGTTGGTGCTCTACCACTTGAGCTATGCCTCAAGAACCGTAACGCTCTCAATGTTCATCAATGTTCTAACATGTATTGGTACATCATCAAATAGTTATTGTTGATGATGGAAATACCATATTTTGTATATCCATTCTTCAATTGATGGATATTTGAGTGGCTTCCAGTTTTGAGTTATTATGAATACTGCTCTTATGAATGTTTGTGTACAACTTTCTATATGGACATATGTTCATTTCTTTTGCATATAACCCCTGGGGTCTAACTGCTGGGACATATGGTAAGAGTGTGGTACAAGAAACTGCCAAATTGTAGAGTGGTTGACCCACAGCAGGGTAAAGGGATGGAGTGCTCCACACAGCAGGTCTGTGACTTGAGCAAAGTTCTGGCTGAAATAAAGAGGTGGATTAGCCACTTCTAGTGACATTTCCTCCCTAGTAGTAGGAAATCTGCAGCACAAGCTCCATAGTTGTTGAAAAAGAAAGGATGTCTGAGAAAAAGAGATGTCCTGTGCCTCTGCAGACTAGCCACCTTCTTTATATTCACTTCCTTTTAGTCCAAAACAGGGTGCTAAAGTGGATGGTCATCCCTCCTCCCCACAATGAAACCCCACATTTCTCACCCCCTAATTGTCTCTTTTCCACTGATTTCCAAGTTTGGGATAATAATCAGAAGGGTAGCTTGGGGCTTAGACCATTGTGATAGGGAAATCTCCAGCCCTAGTGCAGGGATCTTGAAATTTTGACTCAGCTGGGAATCAGTATTGTACTTTCTACCAACAGATGAAAAGTTGGGGCAGAAACATGAAATCCTTGATAATGTTGGCAATGATTTGGTCGATCCTTTCCCAAAACATTAGTCTCAATATTTTCCTCTCCACACAATCCTGGGCCTACATGCAAGCAATAAGCAGCAATAATCCTGTGTGGCAGATATTTCAGTGTTTGATCAGCATTTGTCGTCTTATTGGAATCTCTTGACCCATAGAGAGGCTATCTTAGGAAACGCCCACATTTGATCAAAAGAGGAAACTGAGGACCAGAGCATGACATATCACAGAACACCTAGCACGGTGAAGACAGAACACGATTTGGTCCAACACACGTATTTAACCCTTTCCTTGATTATTCATCACCTTTTTCAGTATAGCATGGCCTCTGAGAAGGTAATGATTTTATTTTCCTTTTATTCAACTGCTATCTTCCTTGAATCTAGAACAGTTTCTGGAGTGG